CTGTCCAGTGGTTTCTCATCTCCTTCAGAGAAAAACCAAGGCCCTCATGAAGTATTCTACGATTTTCCTCACTCCCTATACATAAGGCCTCTTTTGACCTCTTCTTCTACTTTCCCACCTAATTCACTCTGCACCAATCAATCCAACTCTCCCCTCCAAGATTCCCAGCAGACACACTGCTGCCTCCAGGATCTGGGTTTTGCTGTGGTTAGAACACTTAACCCCATGGAGGTACTCAGCTGCTCTCTCACCTACTTTAGGTCTTCCTACAAATGTTACCTTTCTGAGACCTTCCCTAACCACCCTGTTTTAAATGGCACATCTCCCAGCATGATTCCTCTCCCTTTCTAGCTTTACTTTCCTCCATAAAATCACTATTTGATTTATAATTTATCTTTTTTCTGTCACTAGAATGGAAGCTTCACAAATATGAAGATATTTTTGTTAAAAATGCTCACTTTTGTATCACCAGTGCTTAGAAAAATGACTGACACTTAAAAAAGGGTTCCATAAATATTTGTTGAATAAATAAATAAGGTAATCTAAGAAATGTAACCATTAAATGAACAAAGCCTACGGAAATGTCTCCTAGCCTGGAACAATAGTAATAAAGAGTTCTACAAGCCTTGGTTACCAAAAGATGATTTAAAATTCATAGTTAAAATGACCATTCTGCAAATGGCCCTTTAGGTATCTTTGAAATACATAATTATTTGGATTTTAAATGATGTATTGGTTCTTTAATGTTTTTATCAGTTACAGGCATGGCAAATTAGAATTTTATAAGCAATGGTAAACAGAGATTTTTTGGCAGTTAAATTTAAAATAGAAAAAGTATAGGTAGACACCTATATATTATATAAAATACTCTTAAGAAATTATATGCCCGCTACTAAATAGAAAAACAATGACTTTCCTTTTTCTTCTCTAAAACATCTGTGATAGAGGTAGATTTAATACTGACTACTTTGTGTCAATGTACTTTAAAAAGCAAATATCAACATGTGAAACAGGGGCAATCGAGTTCTCAGTTTCTCCATAAAGATGAACATTTGTATTTCAGTGTGGGGAATAAGAAATGTGATGAGCATGACAAAACCTATATTTGCTTTTAAATGAAAATAGTTATGGAAAATAAACTATTATACAATATGGTCATGACATTAATTTTGAAATCCTTGAAAATTTGAGTCTAACGTTAGAGTAATATTACTCTTCTTTCTACATGATAAAAAACCTTATAGATATAGGACCTAAAGTATGAAGGTCTTTAGCACAGGTCATGAACAGATCTGTGCTGAAACACCTCTGCCAAGACCTAAATCTGTGGTATTTGTGAACTATTTGGGACTCCAGCCTTCTTACAATCTTCCCGTTTCCAGTTACAGACATGCACACATGTGGGTACACGTGCACACCTGTCTCCTTCCTTTCTCCACCCTTATCGTCATATCCAGCACCTGGCAAAATTTCCTAAAAGAGACAAAATGAAAAATGCAGAATCTCCTGACATCCTGATACTGTAGTTGAGAAATGGTTACATGTTCCAACGACCCAGACTTCCATGTAATATGTAGTGCACATTTGTAACATAAATGGTCAAGGTCAGAGGCTGCAGACTATTGACACATAAAAAAGTTTTGCTAGGTGAAGGAGTCTCTATAAAGATCCTTTAAACAACTGTCAAAAAACAAAACAAGTTCTAACTCAGTGAACTTACCAATTCAGTTCACTGTATCACTGAGTTATAAAGCTGCAAATGCACAACTGTGTATCTTGTATTAATACTATGGCTATTGGGAAGTCCTAGAAACCTGGTACATCATGCAGAAGCATCATTTTACTCAAAGATCTTACAGGAAAAGATCATTTTTTGTAGTAAACACATGTATCTGGAGGACAGTGTAACTGCTTACATAATTATTTTTTCATATGAACCCTAAGACTTCAGAATTTACAGACTTCCCATTTACAGTGGCGTCTCAGAGTTAAATGTCTTGTGTAAGAACACGATCATTCACCTCTGTATTCATGGTGTCTTCTAATAGAAATGTCTGGAAAATACTGATATCATTAAATATTATCACATCAAGCAGAGGAAAGAGAACAGATTTACAACCACAAGCCTGTTCATAGTTCAGGACAACTACTTTTTTATATGATGGATAGGACATAGTATTACAGATACAGATGTTTATAGTTCTTTTACAATTAAACATGATCTAATTTAAATAAGCATTCCAACAATAAAATAGATGTCAATCTATTGATAGGTTCAATGCTGAAAACACAGGTGCCTGTAGCATAATGGTAGCTAGGTACGTACATCCATCCATAGATACACATAAATGGCATCATTTAATAAAGACAACACATGTATGAAGAAAAAGAAAACACACCATAACTAAATTTCTATTAAGAAAACGGATCCTCATCAATTTCCTAAGGAATTCACTGGATTATAATTCCTTTTCTGTTTGACCACTGCTTTTTCTTCATAATCTGCTACTTCTTCCCTCTTGTATTATATACTAGATTATATTGTATTATCATAAATAGGAGTACAATTATTGATCAACTGTCTTTCTCATTCTGTACTATAGTTGTTGAAAAGACAATGAGGCTGGCATACAGAAGGCCTTTCAATTTAATTTTAATTTCTCTTTCTCATGTTTCGGTCACACTAGTGGTGCCTGAACGATAGTGAACAGAATTTCTCTCATCATCCAACAGGCCTTTTCTTATTTTTTTAACTTTTATTTTTGTTTTAGGGGTACATGTGTAGGTTTGTTATATAGATAGGCTGCATGTTTGCAGGGGTTTGGTGTACAGATTATTTAATAATCTAAGTAATAAGCACAGTACCCAATAGGTAGTTTTCAACCCTCACCCTCCTCCTCCCCTCCACCAGTAGGCTCTGGTGTCCATTGCTCCCTTCTTTGTGTCCATGTGTTTAGCTGCCACTTATGAGAACATGCAGTATTTGGTTTTCTATTCCTGCATTAATTCACTTAGGAGAATGCTCTCCAGCTCCATCCATGTATCCACGTTGCTACAAAGGTCATGTCTCATTCTTTTTTCTGGCTGCATAGTATTCCATGGTGTGTATTTACCACATTTTCTTTATTTAGTCTACCAGTGACGGGCATCTAGGTTGATCCCATGTCTTTGCTATCAAAGGTCTTTTAAGGGGAATTCTTTCTACAATGAGTCAAGCTACCCATGATGGCATAAGGTTAAGTTATATGGCACATAAAATCTAATATGATAAATAATTTAAATAAATGCAAAATTATTTTTCTAAGTAGACATCAAATATTGAAAACACTTATGTTTCAATGAAGCAAGAATGCACAGTTTCTTTTCCATGATATGAATTCTCTATTGTCATCTAAACAGAATTCTCTTTGAAATCACCATGACACTCCTCTTTCAGGGTATACCTTCAGAGATTCTGCTATAGAACTATAAAAATCTGGATTTCCGGGCAAAAATTACTGAGGTACTAATATGTGAAGTTTTACGGTAATTAAATCACAATGCAAAATTATAAACACAGCATCCACAACATAGAAATTTTTACATAATTTAAATATAAACCATTTCAATCTTAGATATGAAAACTTAACAACCAAACAAATGATCTTAAAGAGTCTTGATTAAAGGCACTATGCAAAATGGAATTTTACATTTTCTTTTTACAAATTATTTTAATTTAGGACTCTCATTTACTTCTTGAGGAATCACGACAAAATATATCCATGCACATTTGGGGGAAAAATCCTTCAAAGCAAAGGGCCTTTTCCTCCCTGCCAAAAAAATGCTTTTGTGAATTAGAAGCATGTAATGAAGTTCACAAAGAGCCAACTATCAAAGATTTTAACTTCAGAATAGGGGTAGGGACAGGCAGCCTAACAGAAGTGAACTCTATTCTCGTAAAATACTCTTCTTAATCACCAGGGAACAACAGGCAATGGCAATGAACTACTGTGAAAAGAGCCATTTCATTAGAAAAGATTTGGAAATAAATATCTACAAAGATAACTTCTACCAGAAAGTCTAGTTGGTGCTGCCCCATTAGATACTGGTTTTGATTTTCCAATTAATAAAATGTGAGGGACTGTTTTGAAAATTCATTTTTGACTGGACAACCAGTATGCAAACTCCTGTCACTCTACTTAGCACTGAAACAATAAACTGTTTCTACAGTAATATTACGTGTATGCATTTGCAAATAACTGCTGTATAAAATAAAATGATCAGCTGTCTAATAAGTCAATTCTATCTCTTCAATAAGTGCTGCCAAGTGGTACAAAAACACAAAATATTTTTTAGGAACCAATTGAAAAAGAATTCAATACAGCCTAAGTGACACCGTGAACACTAAACGGTAATACAAATTTCAGAATGAAGATTTTTATTCATTATTTTAAACACACACACACACACACACACACACACACAGAGAGAGAGAGAGAAAGTGAGAGAGAGAGAGAGAGAGAGAGAGAGAGAGAGAGAGAGAGAGAGAAAATGCCTTGTGGCTTTGAATGGAATTGCAAGTGTCCAGTCCCAAAGCTAAGACAGCTTGAGTCTCTAGGCTGAGTCTAGGAAGCCAGCTATCTATACAAAGTTCTGGCTGCTGCTGATTCCCTTGTATAAAGAAAGTGAATATTCTTCAGGAGTTAATTACCCAGTATATGAGAATCACAAAATTTAGCAAAAATGTGTAATTTTGTAACAGCCTATTCTCTCTAAAAGTTCTTGTACTTTTCAAGAACTGTATTTACTTCCTATTTTGATTTATTTATTCTTTGCAAGAGTAAATCCTGACTTGAATAAACAACTAGGGAGTTTGGCAGTGTGGTATGAGGTGAAAAAAATAAATCTAAGGGCAGCATTAATATAAATTGAGCCCTAAAAAAAAACCCAAATATATATATATATATATACACACACACACACATATATATTTATATATACATATATATATAAATATATATATATATATACACACACACACACACACACACATACATATATAAAAATTGAGCCCTTAGAAGTCAGTCTCCATTATAACCCTTGGGCCAAATGTTAACTGTTCCCTTCTGTACTGTATATATTCCCAGTTTCATCCACAATGCAGAGGATAAATGGGCAGTAGGAAAGGGGAGAGGTAGAAAAGGAGGAAATCAAAAGGCAGACAGTGCTTTGTGAGTAGTAGTTGTTTTTAAGGCAAATAGGACAAAAAGATAACTGAGGTAGTAACAAAATAAATGGGAAAATATGGAAGAAAAAGCCCAAAAGATTGAAAAAAGGAAGGCATTTTTAAAAATTATATTTGGAACCATTTATCACCAGTATTGAGGTATATAGAGGTAGGTGGCTAAATACCCAGTTCCTTCTATATTAAAACAAAATTGATTAAGGTCTCAGAGCTCAAACCAGTGATTCCATGAGATCTGGATTATTTTTTAATCTATTTTGTGGCTGAATCATAAATGCCTCAACAATTCATAAACCTTAAGCTCTAACAATCTTTAGAAGCATTTAATCCTAAGTCTAGAAATTTTTAATATGTCAACCAGATTTTTCTTCTCTAGAAATATCTCTAAAATTCTATCTATCCCCATCTGCAGTTTCTACTTTTAGTGCCAACATCGTCTTTACTTGAATTACATTTTTCACTAACTTTAAAATATATCATTAATTTGTGTATCTCTAGGAAAGAAAAAACTACCACCAATAAATTTATAACTTGTCATCAATTGCATCCCAGTTTCAGAGATAGAGGAAAATACTGTTCATTTTTAAATGGATAAATTTGACGCTGTAGTGAGGCATGATCACACCACTGCACTTCAGCCCTGGTGACAAAGAGGCCGTGTTTCAAATCAATAAATACATAAATAAATAAACTAAATAAATGAATTAATTAAATTAAATTAAAAACGAATGGATAAAGCCTCCCAACTGTGTCTGCTTTCTTTCTCATCTTCAAATTTACCCACTCCATCCTTCACTCTGCCATATAAATTAACTGCCTGTAATACCACCTCCTAGCTAAAAGGTCACTGTGTCTTCCTTCTGCCTGCATAGGTAAAATCTAAATTAGATATTACTAGAATAGCATGAAAAGTTTTTCACAAACAGAACCTAATCTGCTTTCTAGTCTCACCTTCTGCCACTCCTACATCATAACTGTATCCCGAAGACACAATGAGGATTTCTACTTTTCGTGAATAGATCATAATTTTTTCAAGACTTTCTGTGTATTCTCTGAACTATCTGAACTGTCTTCTTTTCCCTCCTCATCTAGGAAAATTTTACTTACACTTCGTAACCTGTCTTTCATGAATCATTTTGAAAACGCAAAGTCATTCCAGGGTGCACATGGGTATGAATAATGTCATAAGAATCAATTTTCAGATCCTCAATGTTCAAGTCTCCTCTTTCCTAAAACTATCTCCTTCAGAATACTCCGTGGACCACCCTTCTTTGCCACCTCCATTTTCTCTTTCACAAATGATCTTCTCCAGTTTACAAATCTTACAATGACGCACTGGCCAGGGCTTAAAGAACTCTTGAGCGCCAAGTAACTGGAGAAAACTGAGAGCTTTCCTCTGGGGGAGAATCATGTAAGAATAAGGCAAGAAATAGGGAAGGCAGCAGTTTTAGTTTATCAGGCCGCTAACTTGTGGACAGACTCCATGACTTTATCTGTAAGTCAGACTATTTATCAATGAGTCCATTTATCTTAGACTGAAGAATCAGAAATGAGATACTAGGGAAAGGAGGTGTAGTTAGTTTATTTAAACTGAAAAAAGAAGTCATACTTTTTCTTACCTGAAGTTAAGTCTCATTTGGCTTATTGATTTGACAAGTGAAAACTTTGTAATGAGAGAATGTGATGGGCCTTCTAGTTTGAATGAAAGCAACTATTGAATGCTTTGACCCAAAAAATACATATAAATACTTAAAGCAAATATACACTGTAAGAAAAAAATTGTATCCTTTACGGATGCATTATAACACTTACATGTTGCTGCAAATATTTGATATTTGTCTGTCTCCCTCCATGGGATCACGACTGGCTCATGAAACAAAATGTATGTTAGTCATTTCTTATTCATTTAAACATCTCGCTTATTCTAATTGTTCAGTAAATTTCTGCTGGACTACTGGATCAGTCAGTTATAATCAAATCTCCTCATTAAAAATTCCTACTAAAATATAGTAGTATTCAAACTGCTGAATAAATATGCAAAAAAATCTCTTCCAATCATAAGTATTCATTCTCATTCCTCCCAGTGAACTCCCACTGAATATTACCAATAACTCAGTATTTTGTGTTGAAAATATTACTTAAGTACATTTTATATTTTCCATAAGATATTAGCTCCCCAAGATCAAGACCATCATCATATTGACCTCTGTCATCACCTCAGCACCTAAGGTAAACCATACTTGACCTTTTAAAATGAATTAATAATTTAAAATAATAGCCTTTGCTCTTTAAAGCACTGATACCTAATTTAATCTCACTGCTCTGTGTTTTGGCACAGGATAGAGAGGGTAATTCCTAAAAAGAAAAAAAATTGCTGTCAGTATATAAATATGATGCCACTGACTCACCACCAAGCAGGGCAGGCATGCTGAGTTATTTTTTCCAGTAGTAATGATGAATTGTGCCGACTGAGCCATTTGGTTCCTCCGGGGACCAAAGGCACACATATTTTTATGTAGTCTGTCAGGAGTTAAAATATAGTTTTTGGCCACTGAGCAAACGTGGAATTATTTTCTTAAAAAAATTTTAGCTATTTCACCCAAAGTGACAATACTAAGAGCCAAAATAAAATAAGCAAGACTATATGCAATAGAAATAAATGCTTTATCTCTAGTTGGAAGGTCTTATACCTGACCACCTTTAGTTCCTTCACACATGCGTCAGGTTTTGGTCTCAGTATCTTATGACTGACCATATGGAAACTAAACACTTATAATCTATATTCTGGTATTCTAACAACAGAAAAAGAAATTATCAGTAATAAATGAAGAATACCATATAGATTTACTAGGATTTATTAAAATATTAGTAAATTTATTTGTTAAAATTATTCAATTTATTTATTAAAATACTACTAAGCAGCTAAATCTAACAATAAAATAAAACCTTCACATTCATTTAAAGCATTCTAGTGTAAACAAATATCCAGCTTCTATGCAATGTCATCAACATGAAACATAATAACATTTTTCAATTCACTACTGCCTCTTCATCAATTGCTAATTATCTTATTCATTATTTATTTACTAATCACTTATTCATTTCTATGAGGTAGCCTGCTATCTACCAAAATTAATTATCTAAATATGAACTATACAAATGAGATTTTGGTTTTTTAATCTGTAACTATTTTCAAAGAAAAAGCCAACTAATTTATAGGAAAACTGTAAGACACTATACCTAAGTACAAAATAAATTAATTTCTAAAAACTGCATATTAGAAAATATTTGAAACTGTAGAGATATAAAGAATAGCTGTCTGTGAGTATAGGGCTGGTGTCTGTCTTATTCCTTTTCTTTTTCAGAGCTTGGCAGGGTCAGTGTTCTGTATCAGCTATGGTGATCTAATGGCCCTTCTAGTCAAGCCATGGTGTCTTTTTAATTAAATCCTTTAGATTAAAGTACCCACCAATCACTTTTTGTTTTAATCACAAAGTAGAACAAATTGCTTGGTAAATTAATGAAAGTAAAGGAAAGTCTATCCATTTTAACATGAGTTAAGGCAGTTGGCAGTTAAGGCAGTGAGAAACTTACAGGTTCAAAGTGAAACATGTACAAAAATAAATATTAGCATCACATAATTAACTTTTTACTTAATCACAGCTTTTTGCCGAAAAAACATTCGCTGCTGGTTCATTTTCTAACTAAACTAATAAGAGTCTGACTATTATTCTAAAATTATTAAAAGGAGAGAGCTATGTACTTAGAATAAATATGAAGACACTTCAATACAGTCATTCATAAATAAATACTGTGAACAGGCACTCTTTAAAACAAGTTTTTCAATCATATATATATATATATATATATATATATATATATAACTAGCTAGTGAATGAGATAGGTGACTTTTTAAAGATGTAAATTATTAACACATGGAAGATATTTGAGAGATTACCTCAAAATTGGACTTTTTAAGACAAGATATATCTGAATTTAAACTGCCCAAATTATAAATAATTTACACAATTTAAGAAACTGAACACTTTTTATACAAGCTATATCCATCTAATTAATTTGAGGTATGGGGCCGAATTGCCACAGAAGTAAACTTAAATGAAAATAGCTTTTTAAGGCATCTCATTTGGGATTCAAAGAATACCACTGAGGTTGCCAGCTCTTCCTGCCAACTGGTCTTCAATCTATGTCACTTCAGACTTTTGAAAGGGTCACCAGACCTATATGTGCATAAATAATGTCAGAACCTAAACACACACACAAACAACATAGATTATAATATGGGCATTTGTATCAGTGTTAGCACTGACATGAATGTAAAGCAATATGCAATGAAAAATGATTTCTAATTAACAATTATCCCTTCACTAGACTATAAATTCCATGAAGAAAGATTGTTTACGTTTTTCTGCAACCCAAGAACCTAAAAGGTGGCTAGGCCTAAAGTAGATGCTCAGTAAATGTGTTTTATTAATTAATATAGCATATTACGGCCATTGACATCTGACTTGTGGAATAATCATTAAACACTTGACAGCCAATCTGTCTAAAATTGAGTTACCTCATGTGTAGCTTCCCTCACTGATGTTATAGAGGATAATACATAAATTTTCAACCAAAATGAATATTAACTCATAACAGCTAATATACCCTCCTTTGCACTGAATAAGGCCCACATGACTTTCCAATAAAATGAACAAATTTAAATCTTTGTTCTGCATTTAAAGGGCCTAAAAACAAAAAGCAAGTAAAAATGTCAAATTCACCATGGCTTGACTAGAAGGGCCATTATATTACCACAGCTGATACAGAACACTGACTCTGCCAAGCTCTGATAAAAAAAGAAAAGGGGTAGGACAGACACCAGCCCTGAACACATAGAATTTGTAGCTTTGTAAAGAATCTACGTAACAAATAACCAAATGAACAAATAAAATAATCACAAATTATATCGAGTGCAATGAAGAACATGGGGTACAAAGAGAGTAAAAAAGGAAATCAGCTTTAAATAGTATGGTAAGGACAGGCTCTGCTGAGGAAGTAACATTTTGGTCAAGATCTGAAAGATGAGAAAAACACAGTCATGTGAAAAGCAGAAGGAAGTACATTCTAGGCACAGAAAACATCAAGGGCAAGGGTCTGAGGTGGGAAAGAGCTTAGCATTTAGAAGAACTGAAAGAAACCTTGTAAACCTGAACAAAGTTGAAGGGGCTAAGGTGGGGACACCACCATCTGTGTTTGGAGTTACAGGCACCAAACTAAAGAACATAAATTGAACTACAAAGGGAAGCCATGAAACGATGTACGTAGGGAACTAGTAAAATCTCTCTCTCTATGCCATGTGGACAATGAGAGCACGAAGCAAGAATGGGAGTGATGGCCAGCACTTTGCCTTGATATATCAATTAAATTTCACCATCTATAGAAGGCAGGGAAGCATTTTTTAAGGTTGTTTATTTGTCTCTGAATTGCTGAAAATTTATGTTTTAAGTAATCCTTGATTCTTCCACTAACAATTCATTGTTTTAAATAAACATATTTTCCTAAGAAAATTTCTAAAGTAGGAATGTCCAGAAGTCTTAAGCGACATAGACTGAAGACTTGAAGACTAGTTGGCAGGTAGAATGTGGCAACGTGAACAGTATTCTTTGAATCCCAAATGAGATGCCTTAAATCTTGGTTTTTCTGCCCACTAGTTATATGAAGCTTCCAGATTTAGTGTCCTCCCCTGTAAAACGGCAACAATACAGTTTATCTCATAGAGATATTATGAAGATTAAATGATGTAATCTGTGCAAATTTTTTATATTAGTAGGCTAATAAGAATTAATAAAATAACCCATAGAAAACACTTGGCAACTAGATCATTAAAATCAGATATAGTATTGTTATTTCAACTATGATTAAAATTAAGCCTCAAAAGCCTTCCTTTATTAGCTATCCTTTTTCTATTATTTTGAAAATACAATTTCTCCTGGAATGTCAAAGTCTAGCAGAAAATATCATAGCTGCAATTGTGATTTCCCAAATGATCAGACCTAATGTGTATATCGTAACACTCTGCCAAGTGAGTGGGCAAACATAACATTGTCATTATGTCTGCTGAATCATCTGAATTAGATTTATCCAGCATTCCAGGGAGTGGTGGGTTGAGTATTAACATGGAGATTCAGTTATTGAGTAGTTAAAACAATGTCCACATAAAGCAGCATGAAAAATATTACACATGATCAACTTATGTTAGAAAAGGCAAACCAGTAATGAACTTGCATAAAGATCTGGTTGACTACCACCAATATATACATTTTTAAGTATTTTACCTATAGCTTCATAATTGATCCTTAGCTCCTTCCTATTGGCTTTCATAATACCATACCTTGTCCTTCACTCTGAAACCACAAATCAATTAAAAGCTGATATTAGTTCTAAAGAAATCTCAAGAAAATTTTTAATTTAAAAAATAACAGGTTTTTTATAATTAACAAAAGAATTTAAATATAAAAAGCAGTTTATGAATTCTTTAGTATGACGTTAATTTCATCATACAAAGCTGATTAAAAAATGGAATAGATGAAAAAAGTTTTAGCTTAAAGGTTTAAAAAAAAATAGAAAATACTGAAAATGGAGGGGTGCAAAACACACTGAAGCTTATTTTCTTCCATATAAAGTACTAAAATCCCCTAAGGCTATTTAGAGTCTTAAAAGTGCATAGCTTAAAGAGATGGGATTCAAAAATCATCCTTTTTCTACTTCAAGAATCAATATTTATCTCAGGCCACAAGCTAGATGTTGTTAATCGTTCTGGTGGAAAGCTCTTCAATTCTAATGGATGTAAAAAGAGAGACCAGAATTATGTTCTCAAATATATCCTATCACCTATCCTTCAACTAGCCTTCTCAGAGACTTGATTCTTTCTCTGACCTAAGACGTTTTGAATGTCTTACACAATTATTGCTTTACTGGCACTTTGATGACTCATAATTATTTTTAGGATCAAAACTCTAACGTAACCATCCTCCCATTTGCCAGTACTACCAAGTGTAACAAACACGCACATCTATTGCTGACAATTAAATTAACTTCCTCCATCTACAAGCACTGTCATTCAGAGAAAGTTTACCGAAGGGCAGGAAACAGATTGTGAGGGGCTACTGAGTCACATAAGCAGAACTTTACGCAAAAATTACTTTTGCCAATAAAAGCAAAGAGGCTAATATGTAACTTAGTATGTTCTGTCTTCCCTTTTACCTTATTAAATTCAAATTTAAACATCTCACCCTTTTCAGAAGCAAATAAGTAATTTTCTTAAAATGTCACAGTCTCACTAAATTCTACTTTTCAACAAAATTTAAACAACTGGTTTAATTTTATTCTAAAAGCACTAAAATAGTTTGATGTCACTGCTGATTACTCCCTTTTTCTTTCTCAGTAAAGTGATCTCAAAATCAAATTGTCTAATTGACAGCAAACAAACATGCCAACAAACCAGAAACTGAATTTTAAAATTTTGTCTACAAACGGAAGAAAGAGAATTCCAGAAGAAAACAATTCCACTTAAAGGAGAGGACCTAAGGATGATTAGAATGTTTCGTTATCGCAATCTGGAAGTAAGATTCCACCAAAAAAAAAAAGTTGATGGTAAACATAAAAATCATTAAATACAAACTCATAAGTAGATAGTAAAAATGATAATCATTTTAATGGCTTACCTCTGCTTTCCCATTTGCTCTCCAGTCACACCCAAGATAAAATATGAAGGCATATTAAGGCTGCCAAGGGCCTTGTATACAAAATTGGTATTCAGTAATAAAAGTTGAGAGTTCCACATTGTAAACTGACTCATCAAAGTCATTACTCCTTTAGGTTCTCAATTACATCAGGGATTCCACAGGCATGAGAAGCCATCTCACTCTTTAGATACAACAATAGTTAAAATGTAGCGCACCCACGGTACAGTAGAACGCTTTCTACTGTACACTGACATCAGGTAGATCTTAGGCAAATATAATCTAGAATAGTTTGATTAAGGAGGTTTAGAATAAAAAGAGCCTACAGCAACTAGTTTTTTTTTTTTTCCTTGGTGGGGGCGGGGAGGTAGGCACTAGAACATAGGATCAACTGGTTTGTACATGATTTTATTGCTACAGTTCTACACATACTTAGGTTCAGATATATGGCAGATGAATGCATTTTTAAAAGTAAGAGTACACACAGGAACAAAGCAACAGTTAAGATTTTGAGTTCTCTGAAAATCTTTTGGCCCTGTAAAGTTTATATACACAATGGAGTTCTCACCAGAGGACATCACTATACGAAAGCAAGGGGATGACATGCTTCAGTAGCAACTACTGGGAATTACCAAATTACATAAAATTAATGGGATGTGGCTCTTTGCAATGAATAAATTTATAACTAAATGATGAGTGCATTTCACTTTTGATTCCACTGAGTGAACTGCTAGAGTAATCAATTCAATCAGGTATATTAGAGAAACCATTACATGTCTGATGGGCAGTTTTGCTTTCTTTTCCCCCTCTCCTTATTAAGATTTCTGTTTGTGGTTAGGGAAAAGTAACCAGGTTGGTCTTGGACTCTATAATGTGGGAAGCTGGGAAATCAGATATGAAAATGGAAAAAATAAAATGAGAAAGCAGGAATTGAATAAGACAGACAGAAAATAATAAAATTAAACATCAGAATTTAAATTTGTATATAAATCAAATACTTTCAGTTTTAAAATATACAAAATTTGCTAATATTCAGAAACCTTTCTAACAATTAAAAAAACTAAGGATGTGTTACTGTGATCCAATCTTAGAAGACTCCAAGCCAACACAGATTTGCCTTACATCCAAAAGATCCACATTTTAACACACAGAGGCAACAGCAGGTTCCACAGGAATGTTAGCAAAACTATTTTTTCTTCTTCTTTATTTTTATTTCTTTATTTCTGAGACAGAGTCTCGCACTGTCACCCAGGCTGCAACCTTGACCTTTTGGGCTTAAGGGATCGTCCCACCGCAGCCCCCCAAGTAGCTAGGAACAGGTACACAGCACCACGGCTGGCTAATTTTTAATTTTTTGTAGAGACGGGGGATCTCCCTATGTTGCCCAGGAAGGTCTTAAACTCCTGGACCCAAGTGATCCTCCTGCTTGAGTCTCCTCAAGTGCTGAGGTTATAAGCATAAGCCACCATGCCTGGGAAAGATATCTAAGAAGAGGTAGTATGGTAGAGTGAAAAGAGAAATGACCTAGGTTTTCATTCCTACAATGAGGTAAGCCTTTGCACTCCTATGAAAAGGTGCTTCATCTATAAACCAGCAATATCATTTTTCCTAGCTGCTTCATAGTTCTCACAGGAAAGCCACCTAAGATAATATGTGGAAGGGCTTTGCAAATGTTACAGCACTATACAGATCAAAGGTAACACAAATTAAAGGCGGTTTTAATGTTGTTAACTCTAACAAAAAAAGCAAGTGTTAAACAAGCATTTGTTGAATTAAAGAAAGAAAATTTTAAAATAATTTTAAACCTGAAAACAAACGATTTGAATCATTTTATGTTAATATTAATGTCACATTGTGGAATACTTTAGTTGTCTATAATAATAGCCAACATTAATCCAGTGCTTACTATTTGCCAGGTCCTGTTTTAAAGCTTAGCAATATTAACCTGACAATAACTTCCTGAGATAGAATGTATTATTAAAATCTATTTCATCTGTAAATGTATTTGCTTTATTTATTTACTTCATTCAAATTACTTAAACTAAAATACAGGGCTGGATAATATACCAAAAATCACACAGTCTCAATTCAATCCTAGAAAATCTGATTCCAGTGATCACGCTTTTAAAATAAAAATGAATTCATTAATACATGTACACTTAGACAAACTGCTAAGTGTATTGGTATGAACGTTGCAGTACATGACCAAAATAGTGTTTTCAGGTAAAATCAATTCAGGATTGTTGTTAACTGTACTGTGCCACACAGTCATAATTCTTTTAATATTCTGGAACTGTCAAATATCAGTTTTATGGCATCATGTCAATTACATAACCTCCCTGTTTCACTCTTCTGCCTTTAAAACATTTCCTTCTCTGTTCCCCAAATATGTTTGTAATTGAGCATCTTGTTTGGTACAGATATAAATATGCTTAATAATGAAATTCTTAAATAAGACTCATAGTAGAAACACTTAGATTACGTGAGTGTTTACAGACAGCAGTTAGCTCATTAATGGCTTATTTGCTGACTGCAATAAGCATCATATTAAACACTGAATGGGGATAGACAAGCAATTAAAGACATGACCTTAATCAGTTACTTTTTTTAATCAGTTATTTTTAAAATCTAATTAAGACACAAAACATACTTATGTGAGATGACCTGAAAACTACATTTTTAAAAATCACTTATTTCCAGTTGAAAACTGGCAAGCTATTAGTCGAATATGCAAGTCCTAAGGAGAAACAAGAAGGGTCAAACTCAGGGAAGACAAGTGCCAGAGAATAAAAATTAAGTTGAATTACTCTGTGTGCTTTAGATTGTTCAGTAAGGAAAATCTTCACCCATATCCTGCATCATGGATTTGCAAGACTCCCAGACTGTCTTATATGTGTCGTTATTGAAATATGTTACATTAAGAAATCTGGGCCAGGTGTGGTTTCTCATGCCTATAATCCCAACATTTTGGGAGGCTGAGGCAGGAGAATAACTTGAGGCCAGGAGTTCAAGACCAACCTGGGCAACTTAGCAAGAACCCTGTCTCTACAAAAAAATAAAATATTAGCTGGGCATGATGGCATATGCCTATGGTCCCAGCTACTCAGGAGGCTGAGGCAGGCGGATCACTGCTGCCCAGAAGCTGGAGGCTTCAGTAAGCTATGATCACATACTGCACTCCAGCCTGGGTGATTGTGCCACTGAATCTGGGTTCTGTTACCCTCTAATATGGTAGCAGCTTGTGCAGCAGATTGGGTAAAGTGAAGAGAAAGGTTGATGATGACCATGGTAGTGGCTCCAATATAAGAATGGTTCAAAACCAAAGGAAGTCATGTAGGACAAAACCATTTTCCTTTACATCTCACCTTTACCAACCTACCAACTAGAATAATCCACTCCTACTTTTTCCTTCTGCCCAGCTTCCTCAAACTGCCCAACTCCCACTGTCAATCTGTTTCAGGCAGCTCCCTGACTCCCATATACACCATATGTGTGCACACACGAACACATATCCTCACAGACATAGTGAATATTCTTATTTGTACACCTAAAGATAAAGAACATACTGCCCATTCTGAACCACATATGAAAGCATTAGATTAAGAAACAGCATAGTGAGTTACAGACTGGGGCTGTGAAAATAAGTACAGTTGACCCTCCATATCTCTGGGTTCCACATCCATGGGTTCAACCGAAGGCAGATTAAATACATATAGCAGAAAAAAACAGCAACTATACTGAACATATACACCTTTTTTCTTGTCATTATTCCTAAACAATATGTTATAACCACTATTTACATAGAATTTACATTGTATTAGGGATTATAAGTGACCTAGAGATGATTTCAAATATACAGGAGGATATGCATAGGTTATATGCAAATACTATGCCATTTTATATAACAGATTTGAGCATCTGTGAATATTGGTATCCTTGGGAGGTCCTGGAACCAATGCCACATGACTGCCGAGGGAGGACTGCATGTCGTTAATAATTCTTGGCCAGCGAGATCGCGCCATTGCACTCCAGCCTGGGTAACAAGAGCAAAACTCCGTCTCAAAAAAAATAATAATAATAATAATTCTTGGCCAGAAGTTAAACATCTAACTTCAAATCCCAGTTCTTCTCTACATACCTGTGTGGTCTTGGTAGTTATTCCTTCATTTTGACCCTCATTTCTCATCCATTGACCCCTGGACAAAGAAACTGCTAATGTGCTTTCCAGTTCAAAATTATTAATTCTTGAAAGAATAAAAGTGAATTCAAAGGAGACAGAAAAGTTTTGATTTATGAGATAAGATTTGTTATCTTTTTAATAGGATCACAAATGTTCTACCTCATGATAACTGAGATCGTAGTCTCTAAGTGAAGAGTCTATTGGCTTTCCTATGCCAAAGGCAGGATCATACCTTCCAATATTAGTAATATTTGAACCACGAAAGGAATGTAGCAGGTATTTTGTCCTTAAATCATCTCATATTTAGTTCCAATGTTATTTTTAAAACATGGTTTCTGTATATAAGTTAGTTTCCTAAAATGCTTTCTGTAGAAAAGTCATACTAGGACCAACCTCCAATATATGCATATCTTTATTCTCTACCAATGTCTACTCTTTATGACACAAAAGTAACTTAGAGTCTATACCCTTTTATGGGATCTCTTATTTTTTTCTTTTCTGTTATGTTAATGAGAGAAGAGTAAAACAGGGAGGCTATACAATTAACCTCTTCAATCTGCAAGTTGAACAACCTAGAAACAGCACACAAAGAAGTCAGCACACAGAGTCTTCCAAGAGCATGTAACATGCTGCTTTTAATCAACACCACAGAATAAAAGCAAATGAGAAACAATTTCCTCACCACAGTGCTAATGAGGACTGACTAACAGCACAATTAAAAGTACGCTGTATGCCCTCCCCCATGGTAGACGAGAGACGCCTACAGCTAAGACACAAACACACTAAATCAACACATGAAAACACAACATACTGAATAGGTCTGTTATTTGATGTGACATACACTTTATATGCTTTAGAATAATTCAAAACACTTCAGTGCCTGTTCCTTGAAGTTGTGCTATACATGATTCAGCTAAGTTTGGAATTAGTTAATATACAATTTATACCTAATTCATATTGGCACAGTCAGAGCTCTCTGTTCCACGTCGAAATACCTGCCTGCAAAACGTTTAGAGATGCCAAATACATGGTTCTGTGAGAACTGGCTTTAAAGGAAACTATTTAAAGTCATTTCCCAGCTATTTCATAATTTCATGTGCGTCACTGACAAAAAAGAAAAGAAAAATCGACTCTGCCTATGAAACTGGGCTATCATAAACATCAGCCTGCAGATATTTCAAAGAAATCTAGTGAAATTTAATGAGATTGGTGAATGGTTTTTCCATACTTGTCTGAATAGATTTTTTTAATGGCTTCCCATCAGGTTTTTAGAAGATAAAAAGAGAGCAATCTGATTACACAAACGACAAGGCTCACGGACTGTACAACACAATTTCCAACACTGAACTGTCGGATAGTCCCACCATCCAATGCACTTGTTTATCACATGCTTAATTTGACATCTCCCATAGAGCACTGGCTCCTCTGCACCCTAGCTCAGTCTTATTAGTGGCACCAACATATTTGTAATCTCCTCAAATAGAACATCGACAGCTTGTTTATATGATTTTTCACCTTTTTATCCCACACAGTACAAATAAGAATTGCATTCAGTCACTATATAACACACACTTTTACCATTACTTTTACTACAATTTGCTACCACATTCTATAGGTTTTTCATTCACTTGCTTGAAAAGGGTCTTAAATTTACTTCTTATGCTCCAAAGTCATTGTTATCACCATTGACCAGGCTGCCATCAGCTCTCCCCTGAAGGAGTTCAAGAGCTTCTATCCTTTACTCCTCTGTGTATCCAGTTTATCTCTAGGAGACTTATCTTCCTTAAACACTAGGTCAATAGGTCCTCTAAATCCTATATTGGTTTTATCCATGTTCTATTACAGTATTTATCAATGTATATTTTGTCCTCCATCCCACCCCCAATAATACACATGGCCAACTAAGTGTGAGATATTCTGCTTGTTACTGTCACTTCTTGGATTCTCACTGTGTATATTAACATACTAAAATCTCTGAGGTCTTGAGGTGCAATAATCTATTTATCTTTCTTTAACCTAGCATATTTCACACTTAACTTGAACAAGGGACCTTTCCTCCCCTCAGAATACATACTAAACAAGTAATTTTGGAAATTATATAATCATTCATCAATTCCATATACTACCCTGGCCTTCAATTCCCTTCTCCTTCCTATGAACCCATTGTCACTCATTTTTTTCCCAACCCAATTACTCATGTTGTCTCTCTACCTATCTCTGCTTCCTCTTTTATGTACAGTCAAATTCTTCTAGTCTTCACAAGTCAAACCTCATCCGTGAAATCTTCCATGATAATCTTCCCAATCACCTCATCCTACACAGGTCTCTATCTTCCCCAATTAGAGCATACACTCCTTAAATAAAGTATCTTCATGTTTTAGAAGTATTTTCTTCATTTCCAGCAAAAGCTGCAGGTAGTAGGGAGTAAATGAGTTTGTGTTGATGGCCATATTATTACCTGATACAAAGAAATGACCATATAGAGTGAAATATCAACTACAATCTACACACTGGAACACAGTACTGGTATGTTTTCAGAAAGATGCCAGTGAGATGCTATTTATTTATTCTGATCATCTTTAACCAGTGAAGTCACATGAAGAACTATGGCAAGCCAAAGTGATTTGAAAACAAAGCTTTAGGCCCTTTCGCAAAGAAGACCAAAAGTATATCTAAAACCAGTGACATCTATTTTCTAGTCAAATGATAATCAAATCCTAATTAGTAACAAGTTACAAGCTATATATATAATTAAATCTTAATTACTAACAAGTTATAAGCTATATAGGTTAAAGTATTTATTTTAGTCTTTCTTTATATAAACAATAAAATAACCTCCACATATTTACTCTGAGTATAAAACAACTTCTGAGTTAAATCAGTACAGACACACACACACACACAGTTTGTAAATATATAACTCTCTGTATATGTGTATATATGCATATATATGATATATATATACAAGAGTCTCCTGCTATACGTATAAAGTTAAAGAGCTTTGTTATTTGTGATTTATAATAGATTTAATTAAAAAGTGGTGCTAATGAGGCACAGGTGAGCCAGTTGATTTAACTCTGAGTTTGCAGCCTTCTCCTATAACCCTTAGTCTTCTAGCTACCCGACAAAATAATCAGAAAAATTAACCAAGCTTTTGAGAAAAACAAAGTATATACAGTAAGTACAACATATGTATTTTCTTTAGAGCAAATACAATTAGTTTGCATTCAAATGCTATTCACACACAAACTAATTAGAAGAGTACACTCCCTCATAATGTCAATTTATGGAATATTGGATATTAAACTTTTTCATGCCTAACAGATGTGGTAATGTCTTGCTTGCCATCTTTTTTCTTTTTTTTTTTTTTTTTTCTTTTAAGATGGATTCTAGCTCTGTCACCCAGGCTGGAGTGCAGTGGTACAATCTCAGCTCACTGGAACATTCGCCTGCCGGGTTCCAGCAATTCTTCTGCCTCAGCCTGAGTAGCTGGGATCACAGGTGTTCACCACCACACCCAGCTAATTTGCATATTTTGGGTAGAGAAGGTGTTTCGATATCTTAGCCCGGCTGGTCTCGAACTCCTGGCCTCAGGTGATTCGCCTGCCTGGGCCTCCCAAAGTGCTGGAATTACAGGCCTCCTTGTCATCTTAATACATGTCTGCCTCTCTGCCATCACTGAAGGCTGTTCCCCACCCACCCTTCCTATGTCCCATTACACTATTCTGCATTTTGTACAAAGCACAGAATGAGCATCATTTCTATTCTTACCATGAGCAAAGAATTTACAAAATTTAAGGGATGAAGTTTATTGTGTTTTCTCTATACGTATTTTTTTCACTCAGTTTGTGATTTATTTTGTATGTGTTAGGGTATGGTCAGGAAACTAGATATCAAAGTAGGTATTTCAACAAACAAATTTTAATAGAGAAAGTTGCTTACAGTTGTCAGAGGGCTAAAAGAGCAAAACAGCAATACTGAAGAACACAAAAACAAAATAGTATCAATAAACGAATCAATATTTATTGAGTGCTACTATATATAAGCCATGCACTGTGCATTGCCTGAAGAGGGACAAAAACCCTTCCTTGCTCAATAAAAGATGACAATAATATAAAGTAAGTGTGTATGAGTGAGTGTGTGTGTGTGTGTGTGTGTGTGTGTATACACATACACATACATATAACTTTTTAAAACTTTATCCATACGTATATATACATACACACATATATGTACACATATGTACATATGTAGAGGGGGAGAGAGTGAAATAATATAAACAATGTCCCAAGAGAGTAGATGTTTAATTAATTGCCCTGAACGGTATTGAAAAGGAGCTTGGAAACAGCAAATACTAGTAATTAGAAGATAAAAATTCTAGTCTGGCCACTATCTGTTGTTTGTTGGCAAGTCCATAAAGCTCTTTTGTCCCTTCCAAAAAGTTTTACTACATGACCAATACTTCGTTCCTTCTGTCTGTAACGTTCTATAATTATTTACAATTTACAATGTGGAAGAAGTCACCTGACAGCAGCAGTATGTTGTAAAAACAACTTGAGTTTTGGAGCCAGACAGACCCAAATGTGCATTAAATTTCTAGGTTAGAATTCCTTGCTTGTATTTGTCTTGTTAGAATTAACAATGATTCTTGTAAGGCATGCAATACGTAACTGCTCTGGAATAAATGGCAATTTTTGAATTAAAAGGAAACCACTGTTCTTCAGAGAAAGTCAACTACATCCCAAAGTAAAAGATACTTTCTCATCTCTAAAATATTTAAACATATAAATTTGTCACCACTTTTACTAAAGAGTAAACATCATATCAGATTCCACTATACATTCAACTGCTCTGGGGAAGAGGTTTCATCTTTAGCACTTACACTAACTGGTGGGAATACAAAATCAACTCAATCAATGCTGTTGATAAAACAAAACTGTGTGCTGGATTACCTTTTTACATTTCAGATTACAGTACTAATATGTCCTCTTTTCTCAAAGGGACAAAAATCTGGATGCTTACATACTAAAGTATCAGACTTGTAATCAATGAAATTCTATTTATTTATTTTGTCTCATTAGTAGCTACTCTGAAATTCAAATCTGAACTGAAATATCTTAAAATCATCTGTCAGAGAATCTTAAGTGTTAGACAACATTTAAAAAAACACAAAATTGCTTTTAGGGTTTTTAAAATACTTTTCTAAATGTAGGTACTGTTTCACAGATAGATGATTTCAAGTCCCCCTTTTACGGACATTTTATCCACCTTCATATAACATTAGCAAAAAATTTAGCTTTAAATTTTTATTTTATGTCATGAAATATAAAATATTTTTAAAATAATGTCTTTGGTATCATTTACCCTTAAAAAATACAAAAAAAAAATTCATCAATAAATACAATAAATGACCCTGAAACAAGATTGTTAAAATTTTTCACCCAATGCAAAAGGAAAGATTTTTTAAAAAATATATTCGTTCTTCCTTGAAATACCAAAGTTAAACATCAAAAAAAAAAAAAAAAAGTACTGAACTTAAGGAGTTATTATTTTGTGAGTGGGTAAAATATTAATATTTCAATTTCCTGACATACTCATTTCAGTTATTGGAAATAACTAGATTTTAAGTACATGGCAGAGAACTTGCAGCCAACATTAGCTTTCAGTTTCACCTTATACAAAAACACTTTTTAAATATTTACATTGCTTTGCTTTATTCTTAATGTAAGACAGAAACTGACAACATTATATTATCAACCTCTGTTTAGTACTATAATGTATTATACCATGTTTTAATATGACAAAGCTAAACTACTAAAACCAAATTAAGTTTAGTGTTTTATATTGTGAAGAGA